CCTTATCGGGTTTGTGGCTTATTATTGGTCTAAATTCTCGAGTTCTAAATATTAGGCCACTTTGTTCGAAACCCTTCTGGGTCAACTAGGTAGTTAAATTGAATCGGAATCCATTCACCAACCATCTGAATACTCGTGTAAGAGCCAATGAGCTGCATCTATTGTATGAGGACTACTGGCTGTACCTGTTTGTCCGGACTTCAGTAGGTGGAGCTAGGTTTGCGCCCATGACCTATCGGTTGGAAGTTGAATGTTTAGACTAGTGAGCCACAATCCCAACTAGGCACTACACCTAGTCTTCACACATTAGGTGACTCTCTACCTGGTACATAGATGTGTATGTGGTTACTACTTGTTAATCTATGGCTCATTGGTTCGGGCGTTTGATTTCTAACAATGGGACGACGAAGTCAAACTCCACTTCACTTCCTAAAGTTTGTCTAGATGTTTCCCGACTGTTTCTTTCTAATATGCAAACGTATTATTCAATTGTTGCTTCTCATATAGAAATATGGTCATCAACAGACAGTTAACACCAGAATAAAAATCGTTAGATTTGGATACTCAGACACTGATCTCAATCTGATTGAGAAATCGATAAGTTTTTATTTATCTAAAGTTCAGCATACGTTGTTTTCTGCATCATGACTGTGGAAAAATTACTCAGTATTTTATTTAGTGGAATCTATTAGTGGGACGATGATGATGATTAGGTATATCTCCTTTGGTAAATCAGTCTGGATGCTGAAGTAATGATTACAGTTGAAACGAGGATTTGAATTGTGGCAAGACTTGAACCAGCGACCATACAGGTTACCAATCTGTGTTTGCGAATTTAAGTACGAGATTCAGATGTTGAACAGATCTCAACTTAACTTCAGTCACCAAGGCTTTTACCTGGCTGTTCATCACTTGTGTCTCATCAGTCAACCAATAGGTAGAACACTGGGCCGGTAACCGTGGGATTTGACAACTTGAACCCTACTGTCATCAAGATTCTTATCTTAACTTCAATTCATATACCAATAGGTAGTTCTCTGGTAAAGTAAGGATTACCAGATATGAGTGTCAAGCTGCTGGAAGAACTTAGGTATAATCACTTTTTATAGTGAATTAAGTGGTGTAAAGATATAGTTCTCATCATACGTTATGATATGCATTGTAAAATTACTAAATGTCTCCTTCACCATTACAAATTACTTTTCAGTAGTGTGCAGTTTTGTATGGGGTTGGGCCGATTTCTTTTCTTCAGTCTCCGGCTGAGCGCCTTCAGTTTCTGTTGATTCATAATACAGTGAGATTGTCGTCCAGTATGGGCGTTTTTCTTAACTCTGAATTTGATGCTATCTTGCAGATCATAGCTTCCTATTAGAACTTCAGAGAATCCATTTCGAACACTGAATCACTAAACGATTTTTGGTGAATAAATTAATTTTGAATTATCTTGCATTGTAGTTTCATATTATCGGTTGACAGTAGAATGTGTTCCCACTTAAAATGACACTCAATAATCGAATATCACTCTGTGTCGTCCGAAGTGCTTATCATCCTATTCTAACACAGCCAATTGGTTAGTTATCGTCCCTGACTGTTTTTATATAAAACTTTTAAAGCTGTTTAAACATTAATTTTATGACCTGTTTCTATGATATGTTTAGCTATAGATGAAGAGGGTCGTCTCCCACCAGCATTTATCACTGTTTCATACTCCATTTGTTTTTGAAGCCATTTAGGTACATGTTCTCCCACCCTCAAGTGCATGACTCAATTACTCCTCTCTATATATGTGTGGCCACACACACATGTGAATTGGTAAACATAGACGTTTGAATATTCCCACTAAGACTTTGTCTTTGGCGAAATCACTCTAAAAAGCTAATGGGGACCAACTATGCTAAGGTCAAACTACCATTTCTGGTTTCTGTGATATGTCGTTTCAGGTACATAGGTTGTACATAGAGGTGAATTGTTCAATGCTAGAGTGGATACTTTACAGCATAGCTCAGTGAAGGTAATTTAGAACCAGTCAATAATTCCATCCTACAATGTTTTGTTGGCACTCGACGCACAGTTTCAAAAGGTTCATCTAATATAGTTTACAGAATAAACTTATAAAGGGTGTAACCAAATGTCTACTATACATTGTTGAAGTTTTAGCAATATGAAAGTGGAAGCTAAAATTATTTTTGTAACCAAGTTGAAGTTTTGTATTCATTTTCGTTGTTCACCTTTTCTCATTGCGATTCTTTAAACTAAACTAACTCTTTCTATCTTTTGTGTTTCTGTGTGTTTTTCATTTAGTTATGATGCGTAAACTTCCACATCAGACAGTCATTTCTTATTCTCTTCCTCACTGACAATTACTTAGCTATTTTGTTACGTACTATTCATCTTTTGGTTTCAACTCATGCTTATTTAACAATAGTTACTTATTCAAATTTTCAAATATTTTAACACCTCTTAAACAACTGTCGTTCACATATTACAAGTTGTTATTCATCGTAGACTGACATCAGTTGGAGGAACAAAATGAACCTGGGAGCACTGGAAATCCGTTTCGTACTAGCATAGGACTCCTCAGCAGTGCGTACCCACGACCCCTCCAGGGATCGAATAACTACTATGAATAATAACTTGAAATATTAGTATAATTGCTTTTATATCATACCGTCGTTGATTGGACCGAATTGATCGGTCTCTGTTGGCACATGGGCTCCTGTGCAGATGCCTTTATATTGCTCGCGTTCTAATCATGATAATGATGGATCGTGGCTAGCAGTGGAATCCAGGATGCGTCCTATTTAGGACTCGTCAACTGAATGTACCTGCTTCCCAGTGAGTGTTGTTCCCACCGGGATTCGGACTCGGGAGCGATCGCTTCAAACGCCAGCGCGTTATTCACTACACCACCGTGCCATGATAGCCACTTTTTGCGCATCTTGGATTCCACTGCTAGCCACGATCCATCATTAACTTGAAATATTTCCAAATCCCCACAACTCTCAAAATTCACATATTATTTAAGAGAAATTGTAAATGTGAGTCATTGGCTTAAGTTTTTGACTTTTAACCAATAGATTGCCAATTCAAACTCGGTTGCATCTACTTCAGCCTCGATAACTAATTAGATAAGTAATGATAAGCCTTCACACAATAAGTTTGTGACTTCATAGTTTTGTAAATAAACATATGCACCGGGTTGAGTTCTAAAAGTATCCACTCAGTAACCTTGTGTACATTCTTGGAGTAGGCAATGAGCCATATCTATTGTGTGAAGTGTAATAATGCTACCTGGCTGTTCAGACCTCGATATGTGGGGTGGGGCTTGAAGCCTTTACCCTAAACCAAAGAGGCACAGCCCTACACTAGATTGAGTTACGTTGTTATTTCGTATTATACTACTTTCCTGACCACAATCTACCGAAAATATTTTTCAAATCATATTGACACTTTTGCTTTAGATTTGTAGACACTATATGTCGATGGGATTGTACAACTATAGACAAAAATATCACTGGAAATAAATTTGTTCACTGGAGTTTTTCTTTTGGTACTTTGCTGAAAAAGATGTCCATTATATAAATTTTTCGTCTATGCAGCGAAATTGTCCTGTTGCAATTAATTCATAATTGAGTTTGCATAATAGATGGTAAGGGATGGAACATACTTTTTACATCCTCATCGCGGAAGGGGGGCGGTGACAAACAAGTCTATGAATGGGAGTTTTCATTTCCACTAAACAACTGAGACAAAAGTTTTAATTAACAGTATTCACTTTTGAATTATCAAAGGTTGTTTTGTCGGTAGATCCTATCATTTACGTTTAAGGCCTAACGTCTGCGAATGGATTGAGCCTATCTGTGACTTTGAAGAAATTGTTAATTTATCTATGATGTGAACTAAATAGCATTTCAATGTGTCATGACTTTGTTGTTTGAACCCAATTTCATTGGTCGATTTTTCAGCCTCTATTGTTATCATCAAATAGTCTGAAGGATAACATTTTTGGGGAAAAGCATTACTTCAGGAGTTAACTTACACTGGATGAAGTCTACTCTTCCTATCTAAATATTGTCATGCAATCGTATGTTCATAGTCTCTACCATTAGAGTCATAATCACTGTCTTTTTATAATGTAAAACATAAGTTGTTATGCTTTCTGTTTCCCGATCCTTTTTTTTTGTTTTCTCTCTGCATGATGCTTTTCATGTATTTGTCAAAGCGTAACAGTGTGGAGGATACACTGTGTGTTAGTGTATTGGAGTCTACAATTCACTTCGTTCCAAAAGTTTTGGAATAACTATATTCAGTTGAATAGAGCGAAAACAACAGTTTTAGCAGAAGAATAGCATGGAGCCGTTTTATTTCGAGGTTTCTCATTAAATACTGATAACCTAAAACTACTATCAAATTAAACAAAGCATTTGCATACTCAAATCGATTGGATAAAAAAAATTGTCTCCTTTAAGAAATAATAATATTGTCATTTCAATTTACTATTGGCTATCAGTAGAGTCCAAAAATACAATAAAGATTCTACACTGGGTGATGTCTGAAAGTCAAATGAAAGTCTGGACCTCAGCCAGATTTAAACCAGCGACCACAATGTCACAATCAATATCAAAGCATTTACATAGAGGAGATATATGCTGACAAAAATTGGTCAGTTCATTTCGATGAATCATTGGTGGGAGAAAGCGGAAATTTCAATAACAACCGACACTGGTTGAGCAAAAGGTGCATGTTGCAATTTATTAGCCTAGTGCATAACACTCCTATGTCTGAACCGATGGGGCACTGGATTTAAGTCTCAGTGAAAACACTAATATTCACTGATATGCAAATGTATTTAGCTGACGAGTTCTAAACAGGACGAAATGTGTGGTGGATATTTAACTCATATATTCCAGCCTGTAATTGACAGATATACTGTTGTGTTGACTTCTTTTTTAAATAAGGGTTATTTAGTTATCGTTTTTACCCCTGTTATTGTTTTACAGGGATCTAATGGAAACTACTAAACCTTTCTTGGTCAATACTATTCGCATTCCAGCACTGCCGACCTTATTATTATACTGTCGAGAAGTGGACACAAATGCTGATATCTCAAGGTTTGTTTTGTGCTTAAATCTTTATGAAATTTACTTATCACCAATTGCCGTTAATCAGCTTCATCTTTCATATTATCTGTAAATTAAACTCTTCTTATGTCTAACTTTTTTTGAAATTCTTATCTATACTTTTATTGTGGCAAAAAGTTAGCGAGAAACCATAAAATTATTTGTCAGCAAATGATACTGAATGCTGACTATTCATGTAAATAATATCTACACTATACTTTTGAGATGAATTATCTCTTAGTTTCTGCTGCTTTTTCACTCGTCTTTTGAGTTTCCTTTCAATATTATTCGCTTCTTCCGCCAGAACCTTAACCGATTGAATGCTAAATGTAATTACTTCTCCCAGTGATAGCGTATTATATACTACTTACATGTGTTCTTACAAGTAGCACACATCATACTTCTAGTGGAGCTGCAAGTTATTAGTGTAACTAATCGAATTAAACAATAAGTCACAGATTTGATTCTGACTCCATCTATCGAGGTTTGAGCAGCCAGCTAGTACCATAGCCTTTCACTCAATAGAGATATACATCCTCTTGTGTCTAGATCTGTGCATCATTGTAGAGTTGAGTCACGATGATATTAATATATTCACTGGTCAACTGGCGATATGGATGCATGTGAAATGGTCATTACAATAGAAAGCATTTCACCAGTGACCTCTCAACGTACTTTTTTATCATAAATATAAGTACATTTATGCTGTGATTATAGATTCGATTATTTTTATCGACTTATTGAAGATAGGATTTTAGTGTGATGTGAATTGAGGAATCATTTATCACCGATGAACAAATGTTTTGTGTTCTAGATACATACAGCAAAGTAACAGTGGATTCTCTCATTGATTTACCACGTACATAACTAGTCACATCAGTGAATATAGCAACTAGATGAGAATATAATTGTAATACAATACCGAAAAAATACGATAACTCAACTTAATTCCTTTCTAAAGATATCTATGTACTGGGTTATGCGTCATACTTACCTTGCTGAAGGTTAGTGATACTCTACGGTTGCGCACACCGAAATTTATCGAATCGTGTTTGAACCATCATCATCATCAAGATCAACATAAGACCAGTCATTACTTCGCAACAGTCCATGTTGCCACACCTCATAACAGCACATCAACTAACAAGGTAATAAAATCGAAGATGAGGAAAGAAAGAAAAATCGGAAGCAGAAGGCAGTAAACAAGGGGAAGGAAGAATGAGATGATGAGATTAAGTTTAACGGTTACACCACCCACAGTCTCCAACCACTGGTTTCACTTATCCGGCGGACCCCAAAGGGCTTGTCTTCATCGCTTTACATGGCTCAAACAAACAGTCAATGGTCAGACTTCATGCATCGACATCATGTTTTAATCTGTCCGCCCTGAGCCTTTTTCTAGTCTGAACTTACATCGACCAACATTATGCGATGAGGCAGTCGACGGTTAGATATACGTAAGACATGTCTCAGTCGATGAAGGTTCACGACCTCATCAATTGTCTTACCTGTCCTCCCTAAAACTCTACAGTATGAAGTAAATACTGAAGTTAGTACTCATGATGTCGTCTAGAAAGACGATGAAAGCTCCACGATTAAACACCCCAGCTCAGAGAACACAATAAAAGCAAGACCATCCACCTGAGTACAAATATGCTCCACCATTTCTAAATCATGCGAAAGTAACGTGATCTATATGAAATTGAACAGCAGAAATTTACTCTGCTTAATATCATTTCAACATAACAGTCTTGCCAACGTCACATCATTCCCTAGACTTTAGTGAGTGCACGTTTACCTTCAGACCTAACAATCTCCCATTATATGTGAGTTCAAATACTTACTGATTACAGTTATTTAATGTAGTTCATCTATTCTATCAGCATTTTGAATTGGTGACCAATCTGTGTACTTAAAACTATTCCTACAAAGAGAAGAGAGTGCTGCATCGCCTAATAATTAACAAAATGATAGAAATTCGAATTTTCAGGGAAACAAGTTTATCCGAGTTCGCATGTATTCTGCATTAATAATTATCAGTAAGTACGAAACGTGGCTAAACCATGGCCTCCTACTCTTTGATTTCTAAACGTCTGTTGTCACAGCTACTCTGTTGAAAAATTGCCTAATGTCGCAGAATACTTGACTATTTGAATTTCTTACCAATCTCCTCCTTTAAATTTGTGTGTGCATTCATTGTGCGTTCCCTAAAGAGCTACATGATACTACAAACCATCGAGAATTCTACATTTAAGCTCACCTGATAATTCCTTTCCTAAGGTTAAAAAGCTGTTGAGTATTACTTCTCCGTCGCTCTAATTTTTTCATTCAGTGATATCTTTTTATGATAAAATATATCATTGAAGTTATTCAGTCTGTACAATAGAGACAGAGGTAGACATATAAACGCAGAACCTCGACAAGCAAGTGCATTAGTTTAAGTTACCACATCAAAAAACATCATACAAAGAGGAAGCGAAGGGAAATACAGTGATGATAAAGTTCGTGTGTGAAAGGAGAAAAGATCAATCAGTCAGGGTTAGTGGAAATGTTCGACACTTTGAAAATGAAAAATAGTGCAAGTCACTGCGCTACTGTGGTCGATTTTGAACCATGACAGCTAGAAGTACTAAATAATAGTTTCTAGCATCCCGACTACCGTACTCAATAAACCTACACTAACAGTAAAAGATTATGCATTAGGCCCATGTCTTGGTTTTACCAACCTTAGGTTGATCCTACCGTAATCCTATTTCGTTTGACACCGCATATCGGGATGAGTGGTAACTCAGCGTGAGCAACATACGTCCCAGCCACCTCACTCGCTGGAGGCTGACAAACTCATCTACTGACTTGCTTTCCGTTTCTAACCTCAACATCCGTCACTTCGTAGTCCCACCATATATAAGCAATCCAACGCAGACACCTACGATTAAAAATCTTTAGCCTCTTTATATCTCCTGCTTTCGACGAACGTAGCCTATTGCAGTATAATGGAATAAAATGGACTGTTGAACAGTATGCTCATCATTTGATTCACAGTTGGATATCTCACCAGCACGGGAGATAATGTTATTTGACAGATAGTAAATGAACATTCAGCATATGAACTTAAATCTCGTCATCGATCAACCAATAGGGGTTGATGCAACTTCAGAAGTAAGTGAAATGTTCTGTGCATTCTAACAATATTTTTGTTTAATCTTAAACTGAAAGTTGACACAAATAAGTTTTGTGACTTTAAAGGTCCTGCTATTGAATGGTATGTGATGAGTTGATTATTTTGGATGAGGTTTGCATCACGAACTGATATCGGAAGAGAACAATTGACCACTGAGGAGTATCGGAAGTTGTTTCCAACAAATTCATGACCGTTTTGCCTTGTCCCAATTCTCGCCTCTATATTTGATCGATGTAGGGACTTAAAAGCTTCACAACTTATACAACTCAGTGGTTCAAAGCAAAGATCCATTGTGGAAAATAGTAATTTTTAGGTGTAAATAGCTCAACAACAAAAATTCTGTACTCAAGTAAAGTATCAGACTCAGATCATTTCAATCAAATAGGAAAATTTTTTTCTGAATAACTTGTTTGTGTGATCATTTACAAGTTAAATGCAGGGTACTGGGATATTTACATTGTGAACCTGATCAGGAGAGTTCATTTAGTATTAACAACGTAAAACTGGAAACTATGCAATGAATATTCAATGTACTTAATCCAGTCTCAGACGAATAACTTAGTGGTAAAATGTTTAAGATAAAAGATATAGTTGGATGACACAGATCTGTACTTTATTCATTGCCACTAGATGCATGCCGAACTAATGATTACTGGTAAGCACGAAAACTTAACCGAATGGATTTGACTGGTATTTGCGTTTAGTCATCCAATTAAATGTTTCATCTATTTTCGTTAAATCTGGAATAAATAATAAGCTTAGAGCACAGAAATTTTGTCCAGAAACACAGATCAGAGCATAAAGTACCTAGAGAAAAAGAGAGGACATATGTTCAGATGAAACAGCCAGAGGGTGATTGATTCACATATGATAGATAATCACGTTTATTTGAATCTTAGAGTTTCTATTCGATCAATAATTACTAGCTGATAATAACCAATATTAGACTCAGTAAGCAAGTACAAATTGGTGTACCAGGCTACTAAAAATCCACCGTTTAAGTGAAGGTTGATGACACTTATTTGGTTGTACAGACCTCAGTCGATATAACATCGTAAAAGTCTGTGACTAATTGACTGAAGTTTAATTACTTAAATGAACGTAAATATTACTTTGGACTCTTAATGTGTATATATAAATTGTCTGGGATCGTCACTAAGGACGAATTGTACTTACTAAATGCCACGAAACCATTAATTTTGATGATTAAACAATATTAATTTCATGTGGATGTTTAGTAATTGATTTTAGGTTGGAATTCATCATGGACTGACATCACTTGGAGAAACATTGGAAATCTGGGAACACTAGACATCTGTTTCATCCCACTATGGGATTTGTCAGCAGTGTGCTCCCATGACCCAGCTCTGCCAGGGATCGAACCCAGAACCTTCAAGTTCCGCAGCCAGCACGTTACTATTGAGCCACTGGGTAGGAATCCAATGGTCCACATTTCATACTTCTGTCAATTCACGATAAATCCAATATCGTCGTTGAGTAACCGTCTTCGTTTTCGACTTGATTGACTCCACCGATCACGACTTCTTATTGGTGACTAGCTTCCAGAGGTGATCCCTCAAGTTCCAATGAGAAGTCGTGACAAGTAGAGTCAATCAAGTCGAATATGAGATTAGTTACTCAACGATGACATTGGATGTAAGTCGCGCTGTATCGTGAATTGACAGAAGTATGAAATGTGGACCATTGGATTCCTACCCAGTGGCTCAATAGTAACGTGCTGGCTGCGGAACTTGAAGGTTCTGGGTTCGATCCCTGGCAGAGCTGGGTCATGGGAGCACACTGTTGACGAGTCCCATAGTGGGATGAAACAGATGTCTAGTGTTCCCAGGTTTCTAATGTTTCTCCAAGTGATGTCAGTCCATGATTGATTCCAAGATAAAATATTAGTTTCAATTAGATTCTCAACAATCTCATTTGAGAGATGCTCCGATAATCCAGTTGGGACAGGAACTTGGAAAATGTGTATTGCTAAAAGATGAAGTAAGTAGATGATCAAACTCTGCATAAATATAACACTAGGTGATAACTAAAGATGAAATGAAAGTCTGGGTCCCGTCAGGATTCTAACCAACGACCTCCGGGTTACCATCGTGGTCATCTACCAACTGAGCTATGAGACCAAGACCCGGCTGTTGACCAGATCTTAATAACATACCATAAATTCACATGGCAGTCGGATAAAACCTTCAGATAATCAAGCTGATAATAAATATAATACTCAAATGAAACTGGTAAAAATAATAAAGAGAGAGAAATATTTGAATTCTAAAGTTGTTTATTAGGTTTTCCCTAACCAAGAGACAAAAATAGGGATGTACAAACTTCTACGGAACACTAAGCCTTCGATTATTAGCCTGAATTTGCAAAGCATGCGGTACGTAGATGATTAATTCGGATATCATTAAGAAGATTTGGTGGTATGTAATAAATAATCCTGTGTTAATTTTATCTGTTTCGTGACCACTATTAGTTAACTGAGATATGATTAATCTCCTTATGGGATTTTACATGTCTTGTTTGTATGTGTAACTCATGCCTGAAATAACTCAGTTTGTTCATGTCTACAACCTCATCAAATGATCTTCTAACTAAAACTCTACACTGGTTACACAATGATTACATCAAACATGATAGGTGCTATGAAAAAATGGGTAGCAAAATGGTTGAAACTGACACTAATTTTTCAACCTCAGTGTCTGTTTCATACCTATATAGTTGGACAGAGGGAAGTCCTGAATAATGCATTTGAATCCGATGGGCGTTCGAAAATCTAACCAGTTACGTGTATTATAATTTCATCAACGCCAATCAAATATTCTGTATCCATTTTGGGAGGCATTAACCTTCTATGGCATGAGCTACCAAAGATCAGCAAACACCCTCAAAGTTCCAGCAGCTCTAACTGTCTTATGATCTTTGAATCTGGTATAATAATATTTATAAAACTTCATATTATATACAATACAATCGTCATTGATCTATATTTAACTCAGATATGAGTAGTAGATGCCACAGTAAACTAAAAGTTATTACAAATGGCCACACGACCAGGTATAGAAGTTATAGCAGTTTTCTTTTCTATCGTATGACTATATATATCAATGGTAAACAAAATTCAGTCATTTGAAGGACAAAATGTTGTTTGTTTTTGCGTAATAAATAGTCACATGAACGGTGAAAAACAGAAAAAGGATTTTTGGAATAAGTTTAACAATAACAATAATAAACAACTATTTTATGCACGTTTACGAATCATGTGCAGGAGAAAACAACATTATCTGGTATTATCATCATTATCCAAACCGACGGGGTGATCTCTTACCTAGAAGGCACCTGATAAAATTTAAGTATTCAGACTGTGTAGTCCTGTTAGACAAAGACGCTGATGAAATTCAGCGTCTTTTGTCTACCGTATGCAGACATCTGAGTATGTTTGAGCTACGTTTTGCACTTGTTAAATGTTTATTCAGGAGTGGTCTGGACTAACTTCCGATCTAAGGATAGATAGTAAAGTGATGGAATACACAAACTACCTCATTTACTTCTAAAGTTGCATCAACTACCATTGGCTTTTTTGCTGACTAAGTCTCAGCCCTCATGTCAAACGTTCACTTACCATCTATAAACTAACGTCAGTGAGATATCCAACTGCGAATTAAATGATGAGCACACTGCTCTACAGTCTGCTTTATCCCATCATTTTGCAATGGGCCATGTCAGTCAAATTTAGAAGACATAAGGAGATTATAGATTTTTGATCGTAGTTATCTTACTCAGCGTTGTTCATGTTTAGTAAAACTATTATGTGAAGGATGCTAAGATTAGATATGGCGCTTCTCTAAATATTTCTTGATTCGTTGATCATTTTTGTTCTTTGATAAAGTTTAAGCAACTGTTATCATAGCTCTTAAGCGAACGTTTACTATATAACCGTTATTCGATGCAATCAACAGGAAGATTCACTTTTTCTTAGCTCTGTAATTGTTTGCTTTCGTCAGTAAGTCAGGTTTTCTTTTCATGCATCAGCTTTCCAGCTTAAATTATATCTGAATAGTCATTTAAACTTTTGGAATCATGTACCGGAAGTTATATTTGCATCTAGGCTGTAAACAGTTTTGATTGGATGAAGATTGTAGCAGAATGCCGGTTAGTTTAAATAATGAATATGATTAAGATTCAGCTTAACATAGCTGTGAGATTAACTGATTGCAGTCGATATGGCTATCTTCAAATGGCAGAACTTATTAAGCGTTAAGAAGACTGACAAGTTGAGCGTATCAACTTGTGTACTGCACCGTAACCATATTATCCCTTCCAATCAACTAGCATTCTATCACAACTTGCATCCGATCAAGTTTGTTTACTATCTAGATACAAATATAACTTTCGATATGTAGTTCCGAAAGTTTAAAGAACTATTCAGATTTAATTTCAGCCTGAAAGGTATGACTTCTCCTCTAATGGCGACCTAGATATCAGTTCGAGTTGCCATACTTCATATCAGCACTCGTTAAACACCATATGATAAACAGAGTATAGTACGATTTAGATAAAGACAGGGCATAAATTCATCAAGAAATGCCTGAAACCAATTGATTATGAAAAACCCCACAACTGAAATAAGCATACTTTCATTACTCATTAGTTTACTATCACTTCGATTCATAGTAGATAACTAAGTGGCAACTTGCGCAGGAATGCCAGGTTCCACGTTTTATATTAACTGACTCCAAATAATTTTTTATTTTGGGATTTTCCAGTTGTTTTGAGTTAATCCATCTCTGTTGATATATAGTTCCTTTGGGGGGATATGTTTCCATTGCCCCAAACATGGATTATATAATTAACAGTGGCTGAGTTCGAGTTTCAATTTGATTTACCTTCACATATGTAAGTTTTGCTTTGATAATTTTTTGGTATTCTTCAAGTTTTGAGGTTCGTTCTTGAACGTTTCATCAGCAGTTTAAGGTGCTTCACCAGCACTTACTCTCTAAAGAATTTTTGGTGTCTCCAGTAAAACTCCAACTCAACTTTCAACAAGCCATTCGGTCAAGATTGCATTCCAGGAAAGAAAAAATCAGAAGCTTATATGATATTCTCTTTAAAAGTACTGGATATTATGCAAGCTAACTACTGATTACTCTGTTTTACTGAATAGTTATTTGATTTATTGTGCGTATTTTGTTCTGTCATTCACTTCACGAGATAAGTCATTCACTCCCATTTTCACGAATGTTACTTTTATTCTTACTTTTTAGGATAGTTTTTGATTCCTGGTTGGAAGTGAAATTACTTGATGTTGAGGCCAGTCAAAGAGCAGTGGCAACTACTATTTGGTTACGTTCAACAATGCAGTGTCTGATGGAATACGAGCTAGCAGGTGGGTAGATGCAACAAATAAGTGTTGTTAGCATAAAGTTCTTTGCATTTATTGTGATTCCTATCATTACTATTATTATTGTTATCATTATTATCAGCTTGAATATAACGTTGTAGTTATTATAACGACAATAAACTGTGTTAAGTAGTATGATGTTACTTATATTTTCCCTTGGTTGATTTGACCGAATTGATTGGTCTCTAATTGGTATCCACCTAGGAGCCCATGTGCCAATAGAGACCAATCAATTTGGTCTAATCAATGACGGGATAATACAAGCAACATCATATAAACTATACTCTTCGCACAATAAGTGGCTATCGTGACTCGACTCCCTAGTGGAATACGCCCTGGAATTTGAAGCGACCGGTCTCGGATTTGAGTCTTAGTGGAAAAAATATCGCTCACTGAGAGGCAATAACATCCAGTTGACAAGCATTAAATAGAACGAAACGTACGTTCTTGTTTCCACTGCTAATCACCATCCATAATTAATATTAAATGTTAAGTATTAATGACAAATAACAATAACATTCAGCAACCGCAAGTCTGTGGACTAATCTGTGAAGCACATCTATAATGTGAAGGCTAATTTTACTATCTGACTGGCTGAACTGTGGTAAGTGGTATAGTGGGGTTCGAACTCACTATCAATTGGTCGGAAGTTAGTTAGTTAAACCCAATGAGTTACAACTTTGTCATCCGAAGTATTTGAAAACTTCGCTATAAAGAAGGAAAAGTCAATGTAACCTGTTTAATGAGTTTATTTTCATCTCTGAACCACACCCAGTATTTGAGAACAAATGATACTACCCTGATTTCTTCACGGAAATGTGTAGAGTTGGGTGTAATCTAGTGACTCACTAGTTGTTACGAAACGGGCTGCTAAACCAATGAAACTTAATTTCTAGATGGATAATTTTAGAAGAAGTATTTCAGCGAAGAGTCTCTTTTCGGTGATTTCATTTTCAAAGCTGTACAATCTCAGATTTATACATTTTTCTGGTGTAAGGTTTTGATAGTTATAGTAAACATACAGTATTCGGTTACAGAGAGAACTTCTAGCTCAAAATGATGAAATCGTTCTGTCTACCTGTTAGTTGACTTTATTACTACTAACTGTTTGGTGAAACGAAACAAATCGGTTGTATAAAATATAACTTGTATGACCTTTGACCCATCAGAAAGTTATTCAGATAGACAGACAGATAAGTTAACTTAAAACCTGGAGCAGTGATGCGTCACTTCAAGTTGTCACACTTCATGGCAGTATGCAAAAAGTAATTTGATCGAAAAAGTTATATTAATGGGGACAGAAGTGTGAGAGTTCACAAAATAAGTATATAGAGAAAAATGAATACACTTAAAACTTTAAAAATGACAGAATGTATGCATCTGCGCCACGTTTACCGATTTCCATCTCACTAAGAGTCTCAAATCCTTGTTTATTAACACCTCAATCACCCCAAACAGGTAGGTAACCTATACGCCTCAGACCAACAGTAAATACTTCACGAACCTGTACCGTATTTTATTCTGGGCACCAATTGCTTTCCTCCAACTGAGCCCTTCTTCGGTTAACATTCGACGTCGAGGTGGGCAGAAGCTGAGCATGTGCAATATGTGTCCAGACCACCTCAGTCTGCAACCTCATTGATTTACTTTCTTTCATTATCTGGCACCTTATACTTAGTCTCAATATTGCTGACACTGTGATTCTAGCATACGTGAGCAGTGTTACGAAGAAAGCTGTGGTCGGAAACTTGTAACTTCTCACTTCTATTTTCGGCGGCTGTTTCACAGTCGTATGATAGGACAAAGCGGACTGCAGTGGAGTATGCTTATTGTTTGATTGGAAGTTGGATGTTTTGTCGGGGCTAGAGTTGGTGTAAGTTTGCGAATGCTGAACTGGCCTTTTACATCCGAACCGGGATTTCTTCAATAACTAACCCATTCCGGCTGATACATTTTCCCAAGTAACTAAAGTCAGCCTGCGCTACCGTTTTACTCCCTGTCCTCAAAATAGGAGCTGGCGTAGATCAGTCATGAAGCATCATCTTACATTTGACAGATGAAGAACGCATGCTAAGCGTGATCAGATTCCTGCATTTGGATGACTGTGTTTGTTACCATCTTCACCTAACAAGATAATGTCGTCTGCGCACTCTAAGTCAACTAGGTACCCTTCAGGAAGTAAGTCAATCGCTGAAAAGCTGTAAGTACTTTGGGTTATGTCCGCTATATCATGTCGACAGCGAGGTTGAGCAAAAATGCTGACAGTAGGTATTCTTGGCGGACATCACTGGTGGTTGTTATAACATGGAAAGTGTCGGGCTCCAGTAGGCATACACGTGTCCTAAAACTTACCAAATGTTGGAGATCTGATCGATGCACCCTCCTCCATGTTTGAAACCTGGAGTTTGCTTTTCTCAAACTACAGTTAGTTGTCGTATGACTATGGACCCTAGGATCTTGGACATGAAGTTAGTCAAACTGCACCCTATCTCCACTATTGTTTTCACAAGAAGACTTCTCTCTCTTCCTATGAACTGGAATGATCAGTGATGTAGACCAGCTTGACGAGACTACCTTCGATTGCCACATACCAGCTAGCACCTCCGTTACTTTATTCAGTAGACTTTACTTTCGCACCTAGAAAAGCTTTTGGGGTCAAACCGTCAGGTTCTGTTGCTTTGATTCTTCTCAGATTAGAAACAGCCTTTTCAGCTTCTAGGAGAGTTGAAGGAGTGACACCAACGCTTCATTCATTTTTGGGCTGTATGCTAGGCAGCTTAAACGTGACTGTAGGCTAGTTTAACAGTGTTTAAGAGCGTTCTAACCAACTTTCTAGTCGCCAGTTTTGAGAGATTATCATAGAACCATCCTTTTCTGTGATGGTCTAAGTGATCATTTTCTTATTCCTGCTAGTAACCTTATTGAGCCTCAATAATTTTCAAGCATTATCTCATGTCGATGCCTTCTTCATCTTTCTTGCTTTCACCACCGCTCGGGATCATTCCGAAAACTTCTCAATTCAGGTTCAGGTTGCTTTCACCTCTCTTCGTGGTCAGAGTCGGCTGGAATGAGTCTTCTCACCAATCAGCCCCGATTAGGTTGCGGAAATATACTGGCTTTTGTTAACCTTCAGATGTAGGTAACCAACTGTTTTAACTGTTGTTTCGACAGCAAATTAGATATTTCACCAAGCTTCATCAGGAAGGTGATTGATGCCATGTTCAGATAAATGCTTACCTAACCCATTCCCAAAATACGTACTTGATGTTCTGATCTTCCAACCAAGCACACAGGAGCCACACAGTTTTGTATTTCCTGCGACCGGTAAGGTAAAAACATACAAGTGCCCTGTAATAATACGTAATCTAGTTCCGAGCCGTTACTTCAAAGGGTGCAGCAATCGTCCACCGATTCTCTTTTAAAATGCCTTATAGAAATATAATCTGCCTGTATCCACTGTCGTTTTGATTTTGGCAGGTGCAAAGTGATACAGTGTCTCTTCTTATGCTTGAAGTTAGTACTGTTCAGAAATAAGCAGTTGTAAGGATAAATTTGTAAGAGATGATCATTGCTGTCCCTTCGTGGGTATGGGATTTCGTAGATACCCCCTACTTTTACTTTGCTACTGATTCAGCTTCCTTAATTGTATGTTGAAGTTGCCTGCTACTATGAATATATTTGAACCCTTTGTTTTGTATAGGAAATTGACAACTTTTGGTAGAATTCTTCATTGATATTATCCCGAATACAGTCGATGGGCGTATAGGCGGAGACTGTGAATATGCATCAAGGAGTATCACACCCCTTTCTAGTTCTTACAAATCCCGTTTAGTAAAACAGCACATACTCAACTGGCAATGGGTATCCAGTCGAGAAGTGCACTTTCCGCTCTTTAACTTGAGCTACGCAACCAATTTCCGCACACTTATAACGTAAATTTTGCGGATTCACAACATTGGGCAGGGAAAGTCAAGTGAATAACCACACATGGGTTCTGTACTTGTCCCAGAAAAACAGCATGCATCCATATCTCGCGATTCTAGAGTCTTTGCAACAGACACCTGTTGCTCTATTGAATATAGGGCTCCATCGTTGGAAGCTCCGATGTGAAGTCGGCACCGGGGTTTTATGAGACTAAGAATGATGCTTTGTTAACTTGGATCGCTAGCAATAGTCGCAGAGGTTGCAAGGGGTTTAATGTTGGTATCAGAAAGTGAAGGCAATGGGGTAGACAGCGATAAGGAAGGTAGGTTATGTAAGTTGGTTTTTGCATATTGCTGTGAACGCGCAGGGGGTTAGCACTTCTTGGCGGGCTACACTGCAGAATTGGTTTCGGTAAGGTACCTGAATGAGGAAAGGGATAAAAAATAGTGGTGTTACCTTGTAGGGGATTTGCTTGAGACAAGTCATACACGGTCTTTTTGAAAGTTTTGGATTGAGATTTGATTGTGCTGTAACCGGAAGACAAAAGCACATGCCGCCAGCACCGAAAGACTTCAGAGCAAGGAAGGATGTTTTATTTTGAAGGCCGACATTTCCTAAACCCCTCTTCACATGAGGAAAGCAGTGTTAGTATAGACTTCTGGTCTTCCATGGGAAACATATCGCTGTTTTAACTTGTTTAGCCAGCATTACGACTTCACCCTCAGACCCTTATCATAGCGTAACTATTTAAGTTATGGTAGTAACTATTTTTCGTCTTGCCACTGTGCAACAGGCCTTTCTGATATGGTAGGACCCAAGAAAACAAGCATTCTAACCAACATATATATAAGGATTGCCGTATCGTCACACAACTATCATATGTTTGTAGGACACTTGTGAAACTCAGTAGTTAGAATAACCTATAACATAATAGCGTTGATAGAGTTTACACTCAATCGGGTATGTTATATCCACCATACCTCTGGCATTGTGTCTTATGTGCAGAAAATGCTTCATTTGTGTACTGGATGTATCAGGAATAGGTGAAGTATTTTTTTAAGTATATATATTGCGATTCACGGATGATTTTTTTTTCTGCTACTGATTAGAAAGTGAATTGTATTCATTCTAAGCAGTAGTGTTATCTTACTTTCATCAAATGTGCATTTTCATGGATTGTTTTCAGTTTAAGATGACATTAACTGGATAGGCATTGGAGAAACTGAAAGCTCTGAACAGATGTTCCATCCCAGTTTGAGATTCTCTATTATTGTATAGCATACATGACTCAATATGGGGTCGAACCTATGACCTGTTCGTATCATAAAGAACGAGAAACTATTTATCTATCCAGTAGGTTGGTAGGAGATGTAGTGATCCATGTCTTATAACTTCAGTTAACTGCTGTTCGTTCTTCTGTCGAATATCATCAGTAGGCATGCATCACGACTAGTCACCTTACTGAAGCTAGATCAACAAATTAACTGCTCAACAGTGTTATAGTTTTTAGTTTTTCTATCTGTTCAGATATACAGATATAACTGCACGAGACCAACGCATTGGACATTTAGAGCCTTTATAAATGAGAAGACCACTGTAAGTATTAGTTATAGTCAGCAGCAAAATTTTGAACAAGACAGCTTCTCTTTGGCTAAAAATAGAAAACTATGTATATGCAAAGAAGGCGTAGAAATTGAACTTAGTGATATCATCATATTTAAACTAGAAATATGCAACCATGCCAATTTTTTAATGATTATGTATACAGTAAAGAAAGTCATAAAAAGTGAAAACTACCAACGCCAACAACAATTAAAAGTGTAAATGGACGTAATTACTACTGAATTAAATTGAAACTGATACACTGATTATCAAGATAACATTTCTTAAAGTTAAAAAGTGAGCGGTGATAAATTACCATAATCTTATGTATTATTTAGAAAAAAAAGTTTTCTAGTAGTTATTTTTCCAATCCGTCTTGTCCTACAAGAGTAGAACAAATTAAGTTGCATCTAATTTTTCCAAACTTTTCAATTATTCTACATAATAGTCTGAACTACCAGTACCAGAAAATCATACATTGTACTTCCTGATGTGACTGGATCTTGTGTTACGCATACCGAGTCACCGTTTACCCGTGCATACTGTGCTCCGGAATAGGTTGGAAGAATATTAAACATGACAGGATCCAAATACTATACCTACACTGGTTTACGAAGTCGATGATCGTTGATCTGTAGAGAATGTAGGCTTCTTGATTGAAATTCATCGGATAACTAAAATCGATGCGATGGTATTGGTACAAGTACATTCATTCTTAATCTTCCTCTTAAACTCAAGTTCACTAATCCCTATTCACTTTGTGTTTTTTTCTTTATCGTATTTTTTTTACCAATCACCGTGCACTACTGATTTTAATTCCATATTAGATTAGTTTATTGATATAAGCGCACAGTGGTATATTATTATTTACTAGATGACATTTTGAGCAGAATTTATTGCTCATAATCATATCACCTTGATATATTTTAACTTTATCATAGATGTTCCCGGGGAGATCTCTCTCTCTCTCCTTTGCTGACTTTACTAAGATTGGTTCTGATACAGAAGACTCGTTAGTAGACTTGTAGTACCCAGGTACTAGGACGTGATACTGACAAGATGCAAGATCTGGACATTTCGAAAGTCAATTTAAGGATCTTCGAGATGTATTTCTTATCTCTCAAATACACATTGTTGCTCCAAAACTCGTTTGCATATGTTACACATGGTTAGTTTTCGTCTACTCCATCGTGCGAAATTGACTGAAGTATGCCTAATCTGGGAAAGGAGTAAAAGGGATCATAGGAAGCATGACATCAGCCCATGAAGTCTCTAACTGTTAGTTTGAGCTATCTGGGGAAATACATACTTTTCGGTTGGGGGCCACGTCTCAATCGAAACGGTGGCTCAAGGATACAGATAATGTGACCGGGAATCGATCTCAATGTTGCAGATGCATTCACACCTAGGGTTATTCATCGTATCACACTTCGTGATTTGTTTTACTCCTCTTTTCCTTCTTTTATTCTCATGACGTTTTACGACTTTTGATTACATATCTTTCCTATTTATGCATGTTTGATCTGACTGCTTTATATTTTGATGTGGTGATATGAGATGTGGCAGCTTGAACCGTGATAGATGAATACGGACTGTAAACAAGAAAGCCCTAACCAAATACTTTGTGTGCATTGGTGCCACTTCTTGGGCTGACTACCTTAAGCTTTTCTACAACCTAATCATACTCCAGCTATCACTATGCATTGAGGTAGACGGTGTTTGAGCATGTATAAAGCATCACAATCATGTTATTCGATGAGGTTTGATGACCTGAACAACTAAATTGCCTTCTTCACCCGATACCTCACACCTAACTTGTGGATAGTCTGTTTTAGTGTACATGGATTCTTCGGAGGAAATTCAAATACCTGAATGACAGCATACTGGAATTTGAAAAAGGACACGTAGTCATACGTGTATCAGATTCAGCGATTAAACAACATCAGTAGAGAACATCTCTCTAAAAAAAGGTGCGAAAATCATGAGAACCACGGTAAACATATAAATACAAGTATTATTCTCGATATTTAACCTTACATTACACCCATATTTATCTTACCACCTTTTCTTATTCCGAGAAATTAATGGTAGATTTTGAAGCGTACTGTTTAATCCTTTACCAGGATATATCAGTATTTCACGTTACACCACCATCTCATATATTTGTTTCATAACATGTATTCCAGTGGGAGTGCTATAGAAATCTGTGAGATAGTGGTTCATTCTTGTTACTGTTTAGTTATCAGGAAAAGGTTAGAAATAAATATATTCATCCATATATAGTACATTTATTAGCAAGGGAAGTAATAATTTACTGGAAATTTATTATACAGCATTACAGGATTGTAGAATGAACTCGTATTGTGAGTTGTAGACAGTGCGACATTTTCTCTATCTCAGTCACCTTTTGGAACTATTTTCACGACTCCACTGACTTTTATCTTTCATGAAGAATTTCCTATCGTTTTCATTATTTATTTACAAATGTACAGCTATGAAAATAATTTCTTTGGGACGGTAATTATCTTCCCTGCAACTATTGTGTTGTTTTCGTTCTCGAAAATAAATTGTTTTACATGTTCATTTATTTGTATTTATTATATTTTAGAATGTTTACGTCGTCGTGATGAAACGTTAACAGGAGACAGTGGTGTTGGTGGTGGTGATGATAAAGCAACTGTGCCAACAACAAAGAATCTGACGGTAACGAAGAATTCGGATTCCGAGAAGAATGAAAATCGAATAAAGATTCGACGATTGCAGCGGATGCTATCGCATAGTCTAGCAGCATTTCTAGCTGGCCAACCTGGTGGAGCATATTGTATAAAACGATTATTAGCTGCTGATGTAAAACAACTGTATAGAAAGCGGATCATTAATAATAATGATAGCAATAGTAGCTTTGAAGGTTAGTATGCATTTCAATTAGTCAGTTTTGTTTTGTCAAATTTATAGTAGAGTGCAAAACTATTAATTTAACTCGGAGTTGAAAGCATACTGCTCTCTGAAGGTAATCGTGAAACCGACATCAGGAGAAGGATGCTGGTGTAGCCCGCACAAAATTATGACATTGAAAACGCTGTTTGTTTATAAAAATGAGTTGAAATAGTAATCAAATAGACAGACATGCAAACGTTGTTTTTTGAAACTTGGTAAGACGTCAAGTAGGAAAAAAACACTTTCTCCTTTGCATTTCAAACCACATTTTCGACATATATGTAATACAGTTAACAGTTTTTGCGGGCTACTTGATTATTTTCAGAGTAGCCTTCGTCGCAAAATGTCGTCAGCTGGGGGACTAGTGAAAACCTAAAAACCTTGAACAGTTGTTTCTTCGTATTTTTTTTAACCCCTCACCAGTGGTATGCACTTACAATTCTGTAACGGATGGAGCTTAGGAACATCAAGTCTTATGATGAGGATATTACAACCGAGGGAATGAGGTGGAGTCCGGGAGTTCTTGGCCATGACTCTTGGAGACGTTGTGTGCGTACGCTTATGAGGATTCTCAGTTTAAAGCGAAACAGTTACTCAGTGTCTTCGGATTTCCACTGGTCTTCTAGGTGATATCAATTCGTATTGAAAAATACTTTGATGTATGTATTAACTAATAAGAGTTGTCGGCAATACTTTGTGTACTTTGGCAGCACCTTTTCTAATGCTACCTACTACATCTGTTAGTGAATGTTTCGGAACTAATGAATCATAAGTTGGTGAAGTCCCTTGAATTTAACACGGAGTTTAACAGAAAAAATAATATTATTGACTTATTTAGCATGCACAGATTCGCTAAGTCACTGCGTATTGAGATAAGCAATGTTAGTGGGTGTAGAATCGTAATGTAGAAAAGCAAACGAAAGCTGACCAGTTAGGAGGAATAGCACTCATGTTTAATATCATTTGTTATAGTCTCTAGGTGATATCGCTTGAATATACATCACAATAATTCAAGTACACGTTGACAATCTGTACCATGTTACCAGTTTACATTAATTTGTTTCCTATCCACTTCTATTCCTCTTCTTGTTCCTTTCCTCATGTAATATTGAACAAAGCGTCTTTCCAGTATTCATATCACTTCTGATCAGTATGAATAGTGACCAGCTATTCTCATGTGGGTTATTAGTGTATATCTAGTAGTTTTTCTAGTATTCTCCGTGACGAGCTCTTCACACTTCCTCGTGCGGAAATTTCTCACTCTCAATTAAACCATAGTAGAATCTTGCATTTGGATTATACTCCTATTTGTGTCATTCTCCCTACAGACTAAGAATCTTGTACGCATTTGCTTTGATTTCGAAATGGTATTTGACTTTAAAAATGTAAATAACGTTCACATGTATTAAATTATGTCTAGAGGCTTGCAAACAGACGATAGTAAGTCCTGCGTGTATATATCTAAGTTTTACATTTCTTGATATCAGTTATCAAGGTGCATATGCAACTTGGAGAAATGTCAGTCTTTTGTCGAATTCAGATGTTGAGCACGAAAAAACCCAAACCCACTCAGTAACCTTTTGCATATTCGTGCGACAGACAATGAACCACAGCTATTGTGTGAGGGGTGATGATACCACCTGGCTTCTCAAGTCTAGGTTGGTGGGGTTGGGCTCAAACCGTCTACCCAACGGTTGAAAATCAAATGCTTAGACCAATAACTGACATCTCTCAGTGCTGAGCAACCCAACTTCGCGTCTTTTAGAAACCGCAAGATTCCTCACTGTTACAGGTACATCCTGCAGACGAGAGTGCTAGCAGTTAGTCGTTCCTTCCTATTGACTGATGGTTAAAAACTAAATTGTACTGTTTTTGCCTTGTTTACAAGCTACTTTATAATTTATTTTAAAATATTTTAGTCTAAAAGTTTCATCTATCTAACTTAGTGAATCACCAATTGGTTCATTTAATAGCTTATATGAAATGTGTATTAAAATCGCTTCATTTCACATTGAAAAATGTATACCATGGCCTACATCCTGGCATAATAATAATGATAATAATTGCTGTTCAGTGCACTCAACTATATTACTAGTGTACTATTTGCCTCATTATCTTTATTATTAAACAACTGTTTAGGCATGTGATGATTACAGTGGAGCTGAGCTACACTATCCAAATGGTAACGGTATCTTAGTCTCACGAAATCAATGCATAAAGCATATTTTGTTACTTAGTATGCTAAAAAGTATTTTATTTCTGCAAAGGATGTATGTGAACCAGTCTTAAAGTGATCGCGAACCACCCTTTTTGCTTGAACTCCTATGATAATACTTAGTTGCCCACACTGAAGTATGTAGAGCAGGAATCGAACCCGGAACCCATTACTAGAAAGCCGAGTTCTTTAGCCAGCGAACCACATATTCATACTTATTGCATGAGGGTTGATGATATTACCTGTTTGTCTCAAGCTTCATATGTGGATTGGGGTTCGAATGTATAAATAACTGGTGGAAAATCAACTACCTGAACTAATCAGCTACAGCTTTAAGTGATAACCCAAGTGTACCTTCGGTTTTCATTTGTTTCTTTAACGATAATTCATCAGATTAATTTTATGCTGTCTTTTAGATCAAATAATAATTGGAATATTTCAAATTAAACGTGTTTTAACTTCAGTATGAAACTGATGCTAAGCATAAATTGGTAGAGATACGCTTTACTGATTAAATTCAAACAGAAAGATTTCAAGAATTTTTGTCGCTTTCGATAAAGAATTGAAAGATCCACTTATTGTTCGTTTGAAGAAGTCAAATGTAGTAACTAGTATAGACATTCTTGAATGACTTCATTCATTTCATTCATCGTTATCTCGTCGACTGTGATGTTCACTAATTATCAAACTCAGTTAGTTGGTACAATGTGATGATTAAGGGTGGAATAAAAGCCTGGAATGCATAAAGATTCGAACTAACAACTTATGGATTACCGGCTCCCCTATCTAAGGTAGTCTCATCACCTATTAGTTGCGTCAATTGATAATAGTTATTGTTGCACCAGGTAAAATGTAGCTACCTCTTTTGAGTGTAATGAATAAAGTGTGTGTATGAGTTTTGTACTCATTTTTCCTTCACAGTTAATATACAGATTTAAACGTTTCCAATTTATCGGTTACAGGATTTATTAACCAACTATGTCATTAGATATCTTCCTAAGTTATGTCTTACGACCTTAAAACGCCTATTCACTTCCGATGCATCCTAGTATCAGTTCCATGAAAGGTGAAAAAGGGGACTAATGTCACGTACGATTAAAATATTTTTATCTATGACTTGCTTGGGGGAATTTACTACCTTGACACGAAACTAACTGTACACTAAACTGACTGGATGACTTCTATTGTTTACCTCACAACTCAAATACTGTTGGCTCAGTGTATCCCTAATCCATTCCTAAAAGAGGTCAATCGTGACCCGAATAGCTCGTTGGTAACAGTGTTGACTGCAACACTGGATGACAGGGGTTCGAGTCTCGAAGGGAGATTATTAGTTGCCTTGAGTTTGCAGGTACTCGTTGCTGGTGAGCGCTAGCGAATACGAAACCTAGGTCCAGGACTTCGTCTCGATCACCTTCATCCAACTACTTTCTATTTCAAACTCTCGACATTGTAGTTTTGTTCAGGTTTCTGTTTATCAACCAGCATTTATGTTTCACAAACGTTTTCATCATGGATCGACGTCATCAAGAGAACTATAGGAAACTTCGAACCATTCATCGGTGTACATTTATGGTCCCATATGAGATAGAACCTAAAGTATTCAGGGTTCGTGGTAAGTTTATTGCAACTCAACTACTGGGTCAGAATTCAATGGTCTACGTTTTTCAACTTTTGCTTGTTTGCAAAACCTGTCGATCCTAAGTTCCACTGAGTGTACACTGCTGCGTAATCCAAAAATAGGACGAAACAGTTGTCTGGTACTTTCAGTCTTGCAATGGTTCTCTAGCTAATGTCGATCCGTTATGAAAACCACCTTGTAAGCCAACTGACTCCGCAAAAATCTCTGACTGAACACTTATATTGTCATTCACATACCGTTTCTCTATTTATCTTTCTAGCTCAGACAAAATCCAGATCAAGTGTATACGAAAAGTCAGTTAATGTTGATGATGTCCCGTTACTGAAACCGAATCCAGAATCAGGTATTAAATTCAACCCCTACAAAGGGGGTTATCAAGTTACAGACTATTTAAATATCGATTCGTGAGTTGATTATTTGTTAATTATATTATCTTATGCATGTTTGTAATCATTCTTTATTGACTTTTGCTGTGATCAGCTTCTTTGGTTAACTAGCACTTAGGATATACTTACATCATCCCATATAGAGTATTATATCAATGAATTTTGTCATTTGCATTCTATACCTTTTTGTGTAGAATTTAGTTGGCACTAAGGTCATACTATCAACATCTAATGACAAGCAAACAGATGGAAATTACCAATATGACGCATGATATAAGTACATATTATTCCAAGTTGCAAACTTTCATTCCAGGTTGGGAACTAACATGAGTTAAGACAACAAAATGAAATTGATGTCAAGCATCAGCCATAGGTGAAAAAAGAAAGCAGCAAAGGGAGTTAAATGAATATCGACTTTAAAAAGTTGATGCCACTCATTCCTCTGCTAGCATTGGCATCGTAATAGAAAGTGACTTGGCATGTGTAACACATGTCATAATGGCTGACATCAAGCGATCTGCATTTCTCATCTAATATCCTACAATATACATTGATTTCATGTTAGTTCCATCACATGTGAGTGATGCTATGCAGATAATAGTTAGTAGCATACTTGAAGCTGTCTTAAATCCTATCCAGCTATATAGTACAACAGAATGCAGTGCTGCGCAATACATTCAACTCCTTAATATGTATATGTATCTGTATTAGGATACGTTATCAGCAACATAAGTGATGTAAGTTGGTGAGAACTAGTCCATAATATTTGTATCGGTCACTAGATTTTGACAGCTAGTAATCTGTAGGGCTGATACAACTTCTCAAGTTAGTGAATTGGTCAATAAGGCCATATAATTCACCTCTGATCTTTAGATGGGATATCAATATCATATTCCAGGACCTAACAATATCCTTAAAGTAATAATCTTATTATTTGTTTCTCTATATCAGTTGATGCACAACTTTACTCATATATTCCTTTCATTGTGTGTTGAGTGTAAGAAACATTCTTTCAGTGATATTCTATTCATTATTTTCAGTTTAATTTCAAAGTGAGTCGTGCTTGTGATTCTATCACGAGTATTTCTATGAATCTATTCAACTGGACTGATTATTTTGTTTCATATTGTGTCGCCTTTCAAGTTAGTTGGCATTTTCTTATTTTTATTTAGAATATTGAACTGACTGTGAATACAATCATCCAATAGTCTGAATGCAAGCAAACAAAAAGTGTCAGACAACTTAAAAAGAGATAATAAGGGTTATTATTGAAAACTGCTCTCAAAGGAGCTTGTCAGCTAAAAGAGAACTTCTTTCACAACATACACATCCTGAAGTAAAAATTGTATTCATATCCTTTGTCAAGATGTCTTTAACTAGGAATAAAGTGTCAACTGTCCAATGTTCTCTATCCTTTTTTTCCCCAAAAGTTCAGTTTAATAAAACAACTTACTTACTAATCATTTTTCCTAACACTACTGAATCGTATGTTTCTTTTTTCGATTCTACATCTTTTCTTCAATAGCCTATATCCTGAGACGATATTAGAGGAGCATTCGTCTAAAACAGAAGATTTAGATGAAAACTGTTATGATGCTGGTAGTAGTTATGATCTTGCTTTACGGCTTCAAAGACAAATCTCCTCTGGAACAATTAAAGAATCATCACCTGAAGATTATGAACATACTGATCAAAACACATCTTCATGCAAACAAAACACTGGTGAAGATAGTGACAACGATTCTCTTTATGAGTCGAAAGCGACTTGTGAATTTTGTGGTCAACGTTTTCTTATTCAAGGAACTTTACAAACATCTCTACTGAGACATCGACGAGACTGTCAGTCGTGTAATAAATAACTTTTCTGTTATGAATAGACTATTTTATATATACCTATCTGTAACCTTGTACATTTGATGAATATTTTGAAATTACTAATTACTTATTTCAAACCATCCAGTTCATTATTGGTCAGGATACATTCAAGCTTATTTCAACATCTTGTATTTAATTTTTCAGATGAGTAGATCTCGGCAATATCAAGATCCAGTGTAATTTTTTATTGCTGCAAGTTACTACACTTTAACTCATTATAACAATACGAATTCATCTATAAAAAATTGAAAAAGTGTTATTCACTTACAATTTTCAAGTTTGTGGACTGTGTTTTTAGCCATGCTAGTAATTCCATGGGGACGTAACGTTCGAACTCTTGGCCTATTTTTTGACGATAAAGCATTTAAATCAACCAGTGAGCTACAGATTTACAAGCGAAATAAATCAATAAGGTGAAAAGTGGAGAAGTATGAATCAGGACATCAGTACTTGTTAAGGTGGTAGGAGTAAATGAAAGGTGAAGAAAACCAAGAAAGGTAAGGTTTCGAGTTTCAACCAGTCGATCAAAAGTTTGAAACCAGCTCCACCTGTTGGTATTTAGTGTCATCAATTCTTATGTAATAGGCGTGCATAAGTTTGCACAGGGGCATCGAGTTCTTGGATAACTACATTGTGATTGGACTCGTATTCACCGTAAGAAATCAGCCCAAGTTTACTTAAAATTTGTCTCACTACAATTTCATATTAGATTAGTTTTCTTATTCACGGCATGGTCATGCAGTTATTATTCATTTGGAAACGTAATCAGGACATTTTATAGCTCATAGTTATATCATCTTGACATCAAACGCTACCTCGATGCTAATGTTCTATTCGAACATTGATTTACGACAGTGATGCTAATATAGTATAAACTATAAGTTCTACTGCGGTATTAAGGATCAAAGTAGATCCAGTAGAAAGCAAGCGTTTGGTTCATTGTATCAAATGGCAGTTGAGTGTTTTTTAGAAGGAGGATCTATGCTATTTAACTTCCAGAATACGAGGTAACCAAAAGTGGTCACCTACTTAATTTGCTTGTAAATTTGAAATCTCCGAGGAAGACGAATTTTCTCAAGGATGCAGATACATCGCGCTAATGAGTGTCAGCACGTATGAAACTTAGGTCCAAAACCTTCTACATATTGATTTTTGGCACCTAAACACACTGAAAATATAAACGTGACATCAGTAGGAAGTTACTTTCATTGTCATTTAAAAAATAGTAAAGCAGCATGATGATGGTTTTGAAGTAGTGCTGAAGATGTCATCAAGCCTGATGGTGAAATGAGCACGACCAAATAGACTTCAGAAAACACCAGATCATTCTCATCCTGAGCTGCAAATCTTTTCTGTTATTTCAGTAAAGCAGTTTAATATAATGAATTTTGTTTCGTATACTTCATCATGCGAAATTATCGTGCATACTGTCCACTACATATTTACATTACTTACTCTATGTAGCAGATTTCTTAGTGTTCAATTCATGTGAAGAGCTTTAAGTAAATGACCATAAAAGCTGTTACTATATTACGGGTGATTAAATTCGTGAATACTATTTAGTGAGCTATATTAACTGTACGTTCAACATTTCAGTGCAACTGCTCAATGAGATAGAAAATCTTAATATTTAATGAATTGTCATCTACTCTTGAATAGATGCTAAAATATTGTAAAATTAAAGCAACTCAGTGATAGCTAAGGAGTACCATACTAGGACGAAACAGCTGTCCAGTGCTCTCAGGTTTCCTTTGTTCCTCTAATTGATGTCAGTCTACGATGAATAACAACTTGAGATAGCATATTTATTACTCTCCTTTAAAACTGATCATATGAGAGGATATTGTCTTAATATCTGAAAACTATGATCTTCATGTGGAAGTTCGTTTTTTGAATCGAATTATGAAACTCAATAGTAACCTCCATCAATTCCTTCAAACCAATACTGAACGTGTACTATTTTGTAAGTCGAATGAGTTAATATACTACTCCGGATCTACTATCCTTGTTTTTGGAAACTGAAATATTGGTTTTGATTCTAGGCTTATGATTCCAAGTTATTTAAGGATTTATGTGGAGTCACTGTTCAAAAAAGCTCCTTGATTTTAGGAAAAAAGTAGTTTACTCCCCATATGATATCACTTAAAAGGATTTTCATAGCTTATTTTTTGTATTATACTCAGCAAACACATGCAGTTACGTGCACTAGGCAATAAGTTACACTTTTTGTCAAGGTTAGTAATATTACCTGGTAGAACAAACCTCGGTAGGTGAAGTTGAATTCCAGCTTGCAGCCCACTAGACGGAAGCCAACTGCCTTGATAAATGGGCCATAGTCACTGTTTTACTGCAATGTTGTAAAGCACAACTACTGTAAAAAATGAACACGACAGTGCATTAGGCTTTCAGTTATACGTTCCTCCTTCGGATTGCTAGTGTATTGAAGCTGAAACATGAGTAATGCGAATGTTGAGAGAATAGTTCCAGATACAAGTTAAGTCAGTCGTCCACACTAAGAATCATTATAGACTGAAGCAGTTTTTATTACTGTTACCTTTTAACTAACATCCTTTGTTGTCTTCCTATTTGTAATAAATAAGTCTAACTGATAGCTGCTGCCTTGAAGTGGTAGTCCTACTTGCATATCACAATGACCTATACTGGTGGAACATCCCTTGAGGAACTACCATGCCAGAAAAGTCTGCTGGATAGTGACGAAAGTATTCACCGTCGCAGTGTAAGTACACTACGATGGGAGTCTGAAGGCGAAGTTGTACATCTCGCTGAATGGGCGTTTTTCAGCAGTAAGGTGTTTCCCACAGATCACCATCAGTTCCATCCTGATGCTACCTTCTGTATTAGAAGGATCAGTTAGAAAATTTCGACCTCCAAAGCAGCATTCCACCCTTCCCCTACATTGTGACCTTCAGGTACCGACGATATGAGTTTATTGTTGCATTCGAAACAGGTAAACCTCGAACTTTAAAACAAATCTTGTGTGACTGGCCCGAGGCTGGTGTCGATCCCTTGGGCTTGGTAGTCACATACCACCAATACTGATCCAATTTCTCCAGGTACCTCGATAAGAAATTGCCTTCTACTGTATGAGCAGCCAGGAAGCGTCAACCGCCCTCACAAATATATCAGCACTCAATTTCCTTCAGGTCATCACCAACTTTTCACATCTTTATCTTCAAGTTTTTCTTCACGCCGCTCTGTCAACATCCCTAAGTTATTTTTAACTTCTTCCAGATCTTGATAATAACTGGAGTCTACGGAACAGCATCCCTGGTCTCCTGAAACCTCGCCGCAAAATACATATCGGAGCTTTCAGCATTCGCATGCTCAGTCAAATCGGCCAAGAAGCTTCGCCAGTCAGAACTATGGCATCATAGGTTAAAGACGTAGACCGTGCTTATGAGACACCCATTCAGGACCCAAGTGAGGTCCTTGACCTTATCCAGCTAATATAGTGAGTCTGATAAATTTACCCGGCGAGTTTCTTAAGCTTGGATGGATGATTCTTGGGGTCTTGCAGACGTAGGCTTGACGTTAAGTCTTGAGGCAGAAAGTGCACTGGTCTACTGAATCCCAGTTGACAGTCACTTGTGCACTGTTTGGATGAACAGCGTAGTGAAGTCCAAGAAGTATAGTGAAGCTTGCCGTTGTCTTTCTGAATTTCAGAAATGAAGGTAGTCACCGTCTGACGTGGCGTTCACCGACCTCAACTCAGCGGTGGACATAGACCGCATTAGTTTCAGTTTCCGGTGAAGAGGGTCAGTGGAATATTTCCTCCACTCCTGGAGCATATATTTGGACAGTGCTCACGCTTCTGTTCGTTCAAGCCTATATCTGCGTCTAAATGGTAGTATAAAATCTATGACAACAAGACTGTTCCCAGGATATCTTGACGATGAGACTACTAATGCTACTTTCAGTGAGTAACAGGCTAGAGAGTTATCGGAACAGGACAGTGTCAATCACCAAGAAGAAGCCTGGCGCTATCCCCATTCTAATGAGAAAACAGCTTTGGCAATCATAGCCGACTCTTAGAAACTTAATAGAGAGGGTCAGTGAATCTCCGCAGCTTCTTATGAATTAATAGATGCATGTGAATGCATCTCTGTAAGCTCCAAGCACAATCGGGAGTGGAAGCAACTCAAGAGTAGACTGACGAACAGTCTGCGTAATGACCACGAAAAGTGATAGATAGAGAAATCTAAAAAGATGGGAAGGGCTGTAGTGATAGGCAACAGTAGACAGTTAATTAGACGGGCGTAAAGGTCAACGGTTAGTGATCCTATAATGGAAAAGAGGAAACGACTAAAGTGATGGGGGAGAACACTTCGAGTAAAAGTTCAACTGGCCCCCAACTACTTTTTTTGTCCACTATCCAGTCGGATCCTGAATGGAACATTCAGATACGGCCCTAACAATCGGTGGAGTCAAGAAAGCTGAAAGTAATCTAAAACTAGAAATGGCAGCAAGGCCAGGTGGACCAGTTCCTGAGATATCTAAGGCCGGTGGTAAAGAATTACTGATCAAGTCAATTGAAGTGGTAACTAGTTTATGGGTTTCTTTAATGAACCCCTCCTGACTGGTCTCAATCACTGATTATCCCAGTCTTCAAGAAAGGTGAAAAGTCCTATTGCGATAACCACTGAGGAATCAGCCTGACAAACATAGTACCTAAGATTCTAGGTTCGATAATCATTAGATGCCTGAGTGGAAATCGGGAACAGCTAACCCCAGAAAATCAATCAGGCTTCAAACCTGGTCGTGGGTATATTGACTAGACATTTACTTTACACAGGGTTCTTGAACAAAGGCACACATACCGGTGTCTGGCACTTGCTGTATTTCTTGACCTGAAAGCACCATTCGACTCCTTAGATCAAGAGGTCTTATGACAGTGTCTCCCCCTGAGAGGGTGCCAGGCAGAAACTTTGCCTTGCTGAAGCCAATGTGTTCGAACTCCTGTAGACGTGTTACAACCTATGATGAGTTGTGTACATCTACTGGTATCCGTCAAAAAGACCCATTCTCAACATTCCTAATCAGCTTTGTTACAGAATTATTTATGGATCGCTTCCTCTTTTCTTTTGACTTGACAGGGGCAGATCTTACCATAGGAGACTTAGATTATTCAGATATCACAGTCCTATTTGATTAAGAAGCCGATAAGCTGAAGAGTCTTGTAGATATCTTGAGTGGCGATTAAAGAATGTTTAAGAAGCAATTTTTATCACCCAAACGCAAAGTGTTGCGCCACGACTCATCTACGTTGGCGCTTCGTTTAGAAATGAGGAATGAAGTAGTTGAGCCCGTTGAACATATCACTTACTTGAGAAGTTACATCAGTCATAGCGTGTCAGTAATCAACGTAATCTCAGCATGGTTTGATTGACTTCCGTTAACTTACTGCATCTATGACACCACCATGGTATCTGAATGCTTATCAGGAGTTGAATGTACTGTGTAACAGTTCGCTGTGCCCTACTATGTGGTTGTAAAACATGGTAATTAAAGGTAAACGACATGATAAAGTTTCAGATTTTCGACCACTGCTGTTTTCGTAGCATAGGCCGTGTCGTGGTGCCACCCAGTCATTAACGTAGAAATTAGTTTTAAATTCTTGGTTAGCAGATGGAAGTCAGTCGATGGAGTTGTTAACTTCCATCGACTCAGGTGGCTGACTAGGACATGTGTTACCCATGCTTAGTCACCGTTTTTCCCATAGCACAATGTTAGCTGAAGTACGTCCAAGCTGGAGAAAGGTTAAAGGCAGAAAAGCTGTAACATGGCATGATGCCTTTGACTGTTGGTCTGAGTCATTTAGGAAAATGTAAGTTTGGAGGTTACTTAATGACGGAAAACGGTTGTTGGAGACTCCAAGTTATATTTTTCAGAATGGATCTTAGTGGAGCAGATGCAACCACACACTGTTATCATATTACTTCTGATATTGAATCTTATTGTTTCATTCTTGCTTGTTCTGTTATCACAACTCTCTACCTTTCTGGACTACTTTCTTATTTATTTCTTAACCTCTAACCTTAGTACATTCCACTCGATATTCTGACATGTGTGGCAAATTGAACAGTTACACAATATTATAAGGTCCCATATTGATCTTGACCGACCTAATAAGCTAAACCGACAGGTATTTATGAACTAGTCACGATAAATTGCCGTAGAAATGTGATACTTACAGATAGCAAGTCATTTAAAGTTCGTAAGAAGGTTAGTGGTTATCAGAAGAGAATTAAGTTCTCATAAGTGTGAGGGGATTGATGGCTCCTGACTGTCCCCACTGTTGAAAGTTAGTTCCTTTCTATTTATGACAACTTCGATTGTTACGCAGTATTCTATGGCCTTCGCTGATACTTGCCGACTAGTGGAGCTGACATTTGAAAAGGTATAAATTTATTTAAGACTAAAACGACACTTCCGTGTGTATCTTACTCCAATAGCACAGACTGAAAAAGACATGACAACAGTGTACAAGACTTTTTAACCAGATTCTTTATAGCTTCCTATGGGTACCGAAATTTTATTTCAGTGAGAACTCTTGGCAGTGTCAGTACAGCACTATTAATAAATGGGTCTCAGAAGCTGTAAAGCTATGTGATTTGCTCCACTTCTTTTCACAAAATGATAACCTTCAATGGGAAACAGTATTCAGTACTACTACTTCGTCTTACTGGAACCCACGCAGTCGTGTAAGAGTTTATGGAGAGTTGTCATCAGTACTGACGACAACTGCTATCCGCCAGGGATGTCGACTGTCACCGTTGCTACTTGACTTTATAATAGACGTACTAATGGACATAACCTTAGGTACGTCTGGCTTCACAGGGATTGATCTACTCCCTAGAGGTCATCTAGTTGACTTGGAGTATGTAGATGATATTGTCGTGCTAACTGAAGACGCTGACAAAACACAATCTTCTGAACATGTTGAGCAGAATTTTGAGTATGTTTGACATACGTTTCGTACCTACCAAATGCAAGATGATGCTTCAGGACCGGTCTGCTTCAAATACACCCAGTTTAATGACTGAGTGAAGTGGTGGAATGTATCAACCAATCCACTTACTTAGGAAGTTGCATCAACCTAAACGAGCTGGTCGCTGACGAAATCTCAACTCGGATACAGGCCTGTTTGGCATTTGCCAACTTACGTAACCTGTGGGAACGGCCAGAGGAATATCCCACTATCCATCAAAGGACAAGTATGCTGCGCTGCAGTAGGGCTGACATGTGGCCACTGAGTGGAAAACATGCAGGGGTTACAGCTTTTCGATCACAGATGTCTTCGTAGCATTGCACACTGTTGGTGAAATCACCGTGTGGGCAACCTTGAAGTCGGAAGAGTAGTCGGCAAGACAGGTAAGTCGACTGATGAGGTCGTGATCCTTAGTCGATCCAGGTGGCTTGGACATCCACTGTGCATGTCGAGCCACCGCCAACCATGACGTGTACTACCAAGGGAAGTTGAAAAAATTAAGAGGGGATAGAGTAAGACCCGGTACCACTTGAAGTTCCTTAGTGTCAGCCTAAGCCGTGTGGGGAGATGCGAGCTCCGTGGTAGGGGTCCCGAGAAAAAATGGTTGAGGATTCTTGGTGACATGGCCCGGAACCAGTGACGATGCCACAGATGTATTCACTCCTTGACATCTCCTAAGGCTCAAATATTCACAGATCTTTGTCTCAAGATTGTTTATTCTATCATAACAATCAACATTGGTACCACTTTCTATCCACCTGTTTTTTGCAATACCGTGAAGTGTGGCAACCTGAACCTGTACACTTGTACGAGGTTCTACGTTGATTTAATCAACGTTGATTAGCTACTATAACTCGGTGTCTAGTCATCTGTTCACACCATAGTCAGCAACGTCGTCGAAATCGCATCGCCAAATGAGGCACGTTAAGGCACACCGCTTTCGAAAACAATTCGCAGTCACTTGAGTATGGGAAGGAACCCCATGCATGTCAACCTTACCAACGACACTATGTGAAAGTAGTGAGTACGAAGGCACCACCCACCCCACTATAACGATGTCAGCATACTATTTGTCGCCGGCATATTACACGATACTGGTTGAAACACCTAGATAACTTAGCCAGTGAAGCATAAAAACTACCACCGAATGCACAGACTATTATGCTTTCGAAAATCACTTTACACTAGTGAACGCTCCATTAACTCCAGATCTATGTTAGCAATGCCTTCCAGTGATTGCTACGTCAGACGAAAACAATACATGTAGTGTTAATAAATGATATATTTACAGATGACGAGGGTTTCATAGCGAGACTAGGTACTTTCTTTGTTGGATTTTGCAGGCCATTCTACAATGTGATCAATGGTACCGGATTCATACTGCTGCCACATGCGGTAGAACAGAGCTTCGAGATCAGCAGCATAGCTCCGACAGCTGAAAAGTGGCGATGACTCCCTCGCCTTCCAAACCTATAGAATGTAGGTAAGTATAAAATTAACTATTACCTTTGCGCGCATGGCTTGCAGATACTCCCGATTGTTACCCAATTTGGTTGCGATACGGACATAGTCTTCCTGACTGTTAGCCACAAGCTCAGGACAACCTAACGTATGAAGTTGACTTGCTGCGACTCGACTGGCCAAAGTCTCTAAAGGAAGAGTAACAACGGGGCAACCAGCCCATAAGACGTCCATGCCAGTAGTATGGCCGTTGCATAAAGGAGTATCCAAACAAACATCCGCAACCTGCAATGGAATAGAATAAGAGACCGCGAGCTTACCTGTCCACGCCTAACATGCTCCTCCTTTGGTGCAACATTACTGAAAAGAATGCGCCGGTTGACTTGTTGAAGACCCATTTCCGAAGCTGCCGCAAGAGCACCAGCCTCACCTGCGGCTGGAAAACGCAACAACCACAATACACTATTTGGGACACCCTTCAGAATCTCAACCCACATTCGCATCGTTGATGGGTCAACCTTGTATAGCTGGTTAAAATTACAAAATACTATAGCATCCTCCGGCAAGCCATAATGTTGTCTAGAAGTTAGTATTAGGTCGCGCGGTACTTCCTCACCAGCTGAAGCTTTGGATTGTGTCTGCTGCGTCACCAGACCATTGTGGATAGTCACACCATTGATAGTACAGGAAGGACTGTTTGTGCGAATCATGTTCTGTATCGGTTGCAGGGAAGGAATAGTTAGTACTGTAAGTTTGATGTAGTAAGAAGTTTCTTTCCTCTGATTACCATGAACCTCAACCAAACGCCCACCGTAGTTGACTTCGCGTACACACGCAACTTGTAGTAACGGCTTGATATCCAGACCACTAACGACACTGGAATTGTCAGTCACACGACGCCCAGTGTTAGCATCGTCTGCACCTTCCAAAACAACCCGATTGCGCAAATGAGGAAACATTTGTTGATGATCGCCGATGAAGAACGTCTTGGGCATATACGCCAGCTTCTCTGAATACTGGTGACCCAACTGCAAAGGTGATGTTACCATATCTGTTATTATGTAGTCCATAAACGTCGAGCCACTCGTACCTGGATATCCTAACCACATAGCCTGGATAGGTGCTGGCTTCAGTGCAAATATTTCGTTACGGGCGCCTTTGGTGTAGCCATTCATATTTAACAGGATGTGAATCCCGTCGCTGGCAATCTTGTCCGCAGCTTTACCATGGCACTGAACGCCACTAAGATCAATGAAGTGCTCTGCCTCATTTGCAACCTTGGCTCTGAAATTGGTCCCATCATCAGGTGCCAGCGAATAGCAAAACACCTCAACTTTCGTACGGTCGTGCAGACCAGGGATGCTCTGCATCAAGTGACTAGTTGGATGATTACAAAAATCAGAACTGACGTAGCCAATTCTCAAGCGTTGACCAGCAGGCAACTTCTTCATAAACCTGAAAGGTTGGTGGTGTAATAGTGAAACCTTTTCCAAACATAAGGAAGCATGCTTCCCAGCTATTTTTTTGCGTTGCTCGTGTGTCAGTGGATATAACATAGAGTGGTGGGGATGTACAGAAGGTAGACGATTCGATTCTAACTGATCCTGGACCATAGAAACAAGCTTCTTCATTCTATGTTTATAGTCTGACCAGTCACATACGATTTGCAGGCAATGAGCTAAGTTGCAGAATGCATCTGGGAAGTTAGGCTTTAGTTTGAGAGCAGTTTTGTAAGATGTTATTGCTTCTGCTAGGTTGCCGCTATCCTTTAGTATGCTGGCTAAGTTTGAGTGGGCATCAGCGAATGCAGGATTGATCTGTATGGCTCTCTGATAGCACTGCATCGCACCCTGAACATCTTGTAACTCCTTTAGAGTGTTGCCCATATTAGAATAGGCATCGGCAAATGTTGGTGAAATGCGAATCGCCTCCCGGTAATGCAACAAAGCCTCCTGCAGTTTGCCCTGCAACTGGAGCATACTGGCAAGGTTGGAGTGAGCGACTGCGAACTCAGGGTATATCTCCAGGGCCCGGACATATAGCCGTATAGCCTCCTCTGCCTTTCCTTGCTCACGTTTGATGTTGGCTAAGTTGTTCAGCGAGTCTGCATGTGTAGGACATAACCTTAGAGCAGTATTATAATACTCCTCCGCCTCCGAAACTTTCCCTTTCTCCTTAAGGGCGTTAGCCAAGTTGCAGTACGCATCGGGAAAATTAGGCTGAAGTTCGATGGCCCTCTTGTACGTATCAATCGCGAGGTCAATAAGATTCTGCTCGTAGTAAACACACGCCAAATTCCCATGAACCACAGCATTGTTGGGAGAAAGAGTTAATGCTCTCAAATATGCAGCTACTGCTCTATCAAATATTCTAGCTTCCTTTAGTACATTCCCCAGATTGACGTATGCGTCCAGAAAGGTTGGGTCTAACGTGACAGCCTAAAAACCGGTTAAACTACAGAACTGAACGTACCTTCTCAAAGTGATGTATCGCCAACCATATTTCATTCTGAGCGTTAAAGACACATCCCAAGTTACTCCAGGCCACCGCAAAAGTTGGGCATGTTTCAATTGCCTTTAGGTAGCATGACTAGAAAACAAGAGAAAATTAGCGATGACAGAACGAAAACGAGTACGCTGAGCGGCTGTCAACCAACAGGTTGACAGCTGTGCATGCGAGCGCGAAAAAGTACCTACAAAGAGCGACTCACCAACCCTGAGCCGACTGATGAGAAATTACTTAAAGCGCAGTGCAAAACTTGCACTGTTAGGGGGTCGCGCGTAGGGTAGTAGGAGAGGGAACTCACGAATGCAATTGTTCACAGGGCCAGCCCAGACCGAAGGATTGACAGAACAGCGACTGACGATGACTGCATACATAAAGCTGTTTGAAAGAAAAAATCTGATTCATTAGAAAGGCTGTAGGTTGGCTAGAAATAGTGCTTGGACTATAAAGCAGCGCGGCGGTCACGTAAACCGCAATTTTAAAAAAAAGCAAAAAAAAATCTTAGCATTTCGCAGCGCGCCGCGGCGACTAAGGTGCCGCCTTACTTTCGCCTCATCCAGTCGTCCGAGAGCCTTCAGTAGATTTCCAAGATCACTCCTAACGCAATACAAATCCTACAAAATGCGATAACATGAAGTGAGATCATACTGGATTGTATTGTAGTGCTGTTGCATAAGCGTTTACTGCAGACTCCATGTCCCCAGCCGCAACCAAAGCAGCAGCCAAATTTATGTACCCATCAATGAAATCCGGTTTAATCCTCAACGCATGTCTGTAGTTATCAATGGCCTCCTTCAATTGGCCTCGTTCCTTGAAGACATTGCCAAGATTCGAATAAGCTTCTGCCATCAAAGGATTTTGCTTGATTGCCAACTGACTGAAATAAGCTGACCTCTCCATTCTGCGACACTGAAAGTGTATGGAGCTGAGAAGCAACAAAGTTGACGTGTTTTCTGGGTCCTGGTGCCATAGTTGCATACAATGCTGCTCAGCTCGTTCATAATCACCAGCTTGGTACTCTCGGTGTGCTAATTCTGCAAGACCTGAAAGAAATTGACAGTTACCAATATGAAACAATAGGAAAACTTTGTCCCATGGCTGGATGCTTACTTGAAACATCTGTAAGACGCAAGATCGAACGTCTTTCAATCATATCGCCTGAAGACTGGTTAATACGAAACACAATGTCACTTAGCGATGTCGCCATTAACTAAGTGGATTCAACTTAACAAAATCCAGTGAATCGTTAAACAAATATCTGTAGTCTTATTATACCCACATAAAGTGATTGGGTAAGACATTTAGTAAGGAGGAAATCAGTATGGAAAGAACTAATAGTTTCAGTCTGTCAAGGCCAGGACTAATTCAGTTTAAGAGCACTTTAACGCACGTTTAGATTCAGATTCAAATTTGCTGTCTGAAGATAGGAGGCTGGGAGCCCATGTTATTCTTTTTCTGGCAGATTTCTATGCTTTTTCATTCCCGTTCTCAACAATTCACTTGGTGATGCGGACACCGCTTATCCTAAGAGTCGGTTCCGAGAACCAGCACTCTGAGGATACTATGTTCGTTCTTTGCTCTTGTAGTTTCCTACCATGTCCTCTGAGGTTTCCGGATCTAGTGAGAGGATTGAGGAAAGATAGAACAAGTTCTAAGTCATTTCTTAGAATCCTGTATAGCATGACTAGATCTCCCCGTCTGCGGCAGGACGAAGTGAAGAAGTTCAGCTCCACAAGTTGGTCTTCATGGGTAAGGCCGGCCATCGCAGGCATTATACGAGTGGTTGCCCTCTGGACTCCTTCTAGAAGGTTTGTGTCACCTTTCACACGAGGATTAGCCGCCTAAGTACAGTTTTCCGATTTGGACCTAACTAAGAATGTGTATAAGATGGTAAACATGTCAATACTTGCTTTCGTAAACGTTCCACGTAGTGCCCAGTGTCCCAAAACTCCGAGCTGCCACTAGTGGACAGTGTTCCGCGGTTTTCATATCATAACTCACTGTGGCTCCTGCGTCAGTGTGGGTCAGTACTGACGGCAAAGGAGTCCCATCAACATCGTATGTGTTGCTGTGTATATGCCCCAAGTGCGTGCTCGCCTATTCACCTGCACTGATAGGTATTAGCCAATTTTCTGGCCAGTGTATGTTACAGTTTCATTATCCAAAAGAATAATATTTTAAGCACCTTGCGAAAATCCCCGGGGTTCTTACCGGTAGACCTATCTAATATTACACCTAAAGTTTCAGCTAAAGCTGCTGAAACTAAATTTTTTGAGAGGCAAGCCTACTTCCAGTCTGTTGTTATGTAAGACAGGACTTACCAGCGATATTACGGATGACAAGTTTCTCCTAGCTGTAACATAAGATAATAAACGGATGGTAGTACTTTCCTTTGCACATGGAATGATGTGCTCAGTGCGGTGGGAAATTCGCACGAAGTTCACACACTAAGAGTTGACAGAAAACTAAAACTGTGTAGCCAGTCAAGACCGCTCTGTAGCCACACAAATACTGCAAGCCATCTTTAGCTTCCGTATTGTCTGCAAGCCAAGGATGACAGATGCTATGGGACAACATCGATTGTTCCTTAAAGTTCAGACTATGCAGACCAACCGCATTGGCCGTAGCCTCCTATGGTTCAAACCCTCGCACAGGAAAACTAATACTTCCGATGCTAACCTTCCCTTTCTTGCAGGGGTTTTAAGAGTATTCTGTTGACATAAAAGAGAAGTCTCAATTTTGAGCAGGCGCCCCAAGTCTCGAATGCGTGAAGCTTAGGGGGCCCACTTGAAGTCTCGGAGAGGTAGTTTTCCATCATGACAACCACGGAAGAAAATTCCTGGAGGCGTCTACGAAAAGTAGAGGTGCAATGGGGCAAATGTTGTCGTACATGGCCAAAAGAATTTGATGACATCGGTCAGCTGATCTGTTGTTTACATCAGCCTCAATGACGAGAGTTATAGTGGAGTTCTCCCAGGCTAGTATGTATCGTTGTCTACCTAGAGTTCGTGTGTATACAGATAGGTCACAGAATGAACAACCCGAAGTAACTGGTCTTTTCCTTGATGGATCGCCTACCACCAGAAATGTAGATGGAACAGGGGTCCGTTCATCGGCGACCTCCGCTTTAGACAGGTTTAACCTGACTGGTTAGTACTCAGAGGGTACTTGTTTCATGTGCAAAAAAGCATGAGGCTAACTCAACAAAATCGCGAGCCAGGAAAACTAGGTAGCATGGTATTTGCCAATCTTGTTTCTTTATAGACATAGATCTCCTGCAAGTCTCGAGTCAAGAACTGGCAGTTCTAAACTCAGTGGCACTCCGCAACTTCACGGTTCCTGGAAAAATAGGTGTAATGGTTCTCCGTGTCTCTTCTCTCAGGTTCCATCAAGTTCATAACTATGAATTCAATTGCCAACATGACCGGATATGGTTTCTCATAAAACCAATGCCAGAAAATGCGTGACGGGATGACTCATGAGTGAGGCCATCCGTAGGCCGTCATCACAGTAATCATATGTTGAGGAACTTTGGCCCCCCTCTAAATCTTGGGTACGCGCGAACCCCAATTTTCGCAATGTCAGTCGTGTATGCCATAGTAGCTGTGACCTGACTGAAGTTCTATTACTCATTCCAATGGAAGACCGGCGAGTAGTAAAAAAGTGAAATAAATAGCCCAACGTAAAAGCAGTGTGACTCATTGTTTGAACTGCACCTTCACCATGGAGATATTCCTGGTGATTAAAATCACCCCGCTCTCTCCCACGTTGTTTGCCGGTTCCAGCATATCTAAGAGACACAGTTGACCCATCTCCTCAGAAGGCATTAACGAAAATTTGGTTGATTTCATGTCATAGCGTTCTAGGCGGCCCTGAAACAGACAGGTTGTCGAACTAACCACGACTGTTAGGATATGATTATCTACTAGATGTTCACACACGAAAAGATTACGCGTGTCACTGACCATTTTGTCCCACTTTTAGCTCCAAAGTATCACAAACAACCCAATGTTCTGCGCAACTGTAGTCTTGAACTTCTAACGTTAAAAGAAACCCCCGGTCTCAGTGTCGGAACCAAAGGTGGGTCCACTCACGGAAAGATCACGCAAGTGGGAAATCTAAGCCTTAAAACGACGAACGATGATAAACATGTGTGAAAACTGGGTCTCGATAATATGTTTGTATCGTAGCTTAAAACCTTATCCTCTAGGCAGAAACATCACGCCAGATCAAGGTAGCAATTTCCTACTTGCTTGCTCTCAATGGTCTGACCAGTACATTCACTGGGGTTAAAGAATTCTTAACCGCTCATTCCTTACGAACATCATAATCAGCCTGATCTGCAGATACATGCGTGCGTTCCACGGGGGCTGCAAGAGTATCAGTCGTTGACATTATTGTCGATTGGGCACATTTTGCCTCGAAGATGGTAGAGAAAGATCCCCTTATGGATTTTCATGTGACTCATTTCGCTGCTTTTCAGTGTGCTACCTCATTTTTAACCGGACCTTTCAGCACACTACTCAGGTCTCACAATAATCACAGAGTAGTGTCTCAACCTTGAAAGTGAAGTCGTATCACAGAGATATTCACGGTCGATCGAAGAAGCAATGTAGCCAGTGATCTACAACGGTTCATATGGCTTCCCAATATCCACTAGCTACTTCATGTATGTACCGTATGATCTTCGGAAAGGGTACTCATGTATCATTGATATGCTATGCGCAGTAGATAACCGACCTACCATTATAGGTCGCCGATGCGGAACTGATTTCAATCAACTTCGATACTTCCGACACCCTCGATAGTGTCAAGCACAGCTATCTCATTAAGTCGGGATTAATAGGAAGAAATTCATCGGTAGTGTGTTGGTTACTGTCATGTTCAGGTTGACATTTGTTGAAGGTTCGTAGGAATTCCTCAAATTACGGAGAAATGGGAAATTCCGAAGGTTCTAAATTAAAACCTCTGCAGCCCTAGAAAGTATCTTCTGTAAATCTTCTCTTTGCTGGTGTGTAGCTAGGAAGAGTGTCAAGAAGTGAAAACGATGGGCTCACTTTGCAAGACGACTTCTACACCAGGCAGGCTGGGTTAGAATAACCCCTAGTTCCGAAAAATGCACATTCAGACCCGGCAGCATACAACTGGACACAGTTTTCGCAGGGAGAGTCGTGGGTTGTAGTCCTCCGTGATCGTATATTTTTGTGCCGATAGTGACGAAAATGGGATCCACATCAGCTTCGCTCACTTCAACCTGGGATGAATCTGTGGGCGCCGATAAGAGTTGTTTCTGCGAAATCTTCAACGGCTTCATGTGCCACCATCTAGAGTTCTAGGTTGTAGTCTTTTCCCTTTTCTTTCGGATGCCTGAGAACCACTTGCAAAGCATCCGTGGGTGATGAGCGGGTCAATTCGAGGACTAGAGTTCAAACTATACAGGAAACGCGTGACAGTACTTGATCTGCACTCCACCGAGCATGAAGTATCGAGCGGTGACTTTACAACGACGTACAACATTTGGGATGACTGAGATCGCTGACTTCATTTTTTGCTCATCATAAGTTGTAATAATAAACTCAGGGAACACTAGGAAGTTATGACGCGAACAAAGTACCGTGGCTTTTGGTATAATGTTCACTAACTGTTAGTTGATAAGGTTTGGAGTGCGCTCTCCGTAGATGTTGCTTGGGCTGGATTATCGAAGTTTTTCAAGCTGAAATTCGATGTCTACCTAGGGTCTCACCGACGGCCTATGGACTATATTATCCTCAGCCTGCTACTTTTATTTTTCTTGTCATGCCTAAGTTTTCAGGCATGGTAGCTGGCGGTTCATTGATTCTGAAGGCGGAGTCCATGGAACCGAGGGATTCGCTGTCCCAAAGATAACTTGAAAATACGTGAAATAAATGGGATACATAGGACAGGTGGCGTGCTTCTGAGTTGTGTAGGCAGTAGATCTAGCATTTGTCTCATTAGGATTACCAATCGTTTGCCACCTACTGCAAAAAGCCAGGCCAATTACCCCCAATCAATTTTAAAGAACAATGTTGGATGGAAATGCGCGCCTATGTTACTGGTGGCGGATCTAAACCTACCTCAGTTATGTGCTTCTGAAAGATATTTAGGATACTAAAGGTTCGTTTGCAGGATCAATATGAAGGCGATAGCTCTTTGAATAAACGAAATAAAGCGGCCTCTTGAGGACCAGCATACGTACTAAACTTATTTGTCAATAATCAGGTGATGTTGTCTGAAACTCGTCAGTGAACGTTTCCACTGGGCGTAGATGTTGTTCTGCGGTGTCCTCCAAGCTGCTTCGTCACACGGTTTCAAGCTGAAATTCATTTTGAACACAGGACCTACGGCTGAATCAGCTTTTTTAAATGTTACAAGAAGC